TCTAAGGAAAAAAGAGCTTTGAAGAACAAATGGTTATACAAAGTGAAATAAGAAGAATACACTTCACAACCATATTTTAAAGCTAGATTGGTTGTCAAGGGATTCAGTCAAAAGTAAGGTATTGACTTTGATTAATAGTAATAAAAAGAATGATTTTGGTTATATGGTTGAGTTTTTTTATTTATGGTATTTTAGATTAGGATATGCATATTATAAAAAAAATCTTAGAAATGACTAAGTCTAATTTGATTCTTTATGTGCAAATGTATAATGAAAAATGTCATACATGCATGTTTACCAAAAAACTAGAACTTCATTTTCTAAGGTAGAAAGGAGTACCAAGTTACTTGAATTAATTCACAGTAATATACGTGATTTACATAGTACTCCATCTATAGGAAAAAAAAATACTTCATCACTTTCATAGATGACTTCACCAATTTTTGCTATGTATACTTAATGCATACAAAAGATGAAGCATTAGAAAAATTAAAGATTTACAAAAATGAAGTTAAATTACATTATGATGCTAAGATTTAAGTCTTGAGAACTGATAGAGGAGGCGAATACTTTGATCCAAATTACTTTGAATCTATAAGAATAATCCATGAAGTAAAAGCACCATATAATCCACAATTAAATGGTGTGGCTAAAAGGAAACATAAGGTGCTAACCGAAATGGTTAATGCTATGTTGTCCTACTTTGGTTTATGATAAGATTTTTGGGATGAGGCATTGCTAAGTACATGTCGTATTCAAAATAGAGTTCCAAATAAAAGGAACAAGAATACCTCATATGAATTATGGAAGAAAAGGAAACCAAAACTAAACTATCCTAAAGTTTAGGGCTGTAGAGCATTAGTAAAAGTTATCAAACCTAAAAGAAAAAATTAAAAGAATAGGGAATTGAGTGCATATTCATAGGTTATGCACAAAATAGCAAGGCTTATAGGTTCATGGTAATAGAACCTAATGATTCAATATGGATAAATATAGTAATTGAATCAAGAGATAACATGTTTGATGAATTTAGGTTCAAGATAAAACTTAAACCTAATGACATTGCTCAAAGTAGTTCAAATGAACTAGTAAATTCTCCCATAATAGAAAAGCTTATACCTAGAACAAGTAAAAAAGTAAGGAAAGCTAAATCCTACAACTCGAATTTCTACATGTATCTAGATAAAAGAATAAGAGAACTTAATAATTTAAGGAACAAGGAAGAACTTAATATTGCTTCAATATAAAAATAGCTCCATGGACATTTGATGAGGCAATAAAGTTTCTAAATGTAGCCTTTTGGAAAGAGGCTACTAATGATGAAATTGATTCTATCATGGGTAACAATACTTGAATTCTAGTAGACTTACCTCTTGGTTGCAAACCAATTGATTGCAAGTTGATATTCAAAATGAAAATGAAAATGGATAGTACTATAGACAAGTTCAAAGCTAGGTTGGTTGCTAAAGGGTTTACACAAAAGCATGGCATATATTATTTTGATACCTATGCACTGGTAGCAAGAATAGCTATTAGAAAAATGCTTATTACATTGGTCTCAATCTACAAATTAGAAATTCACTAAATGAATATTAAAAAAACATTCTTAAATGGTGAATTGGATAAGGTACATGTGGAAAAACAGGAAAGGGTTTCTTGTTTTGGGACAAGAAAATAAAGTGCGTAAACCTATTAAGTCTTTATATGGATTTAAACAAAAACCTAAACAATGGCATCAAAAATTTGATGAAGTTGTTCTAGCTAATGACTTTAAGATCAATCAGTTAGACAAGTGTGTCTATAGTAAGTTTGAACATGGCAAAAGAGTCACCAGATTTAAGTCATTATGTTGATGACATCTTAATTTTTTATACAGATTTAGAATTAGTTGAAAGTACCAAAAGGTCTTTGTCCAATAATTTTGCATTGAAGGATATAGGCATTGGCTGATGTGATATTGGGTATAAAAATTTTTAGAAAAGATGATGGATTAATCATATCCTTATCAAATTACATTGAAAAATTCGTAAAATATTCAATCATTATGATTGTGCAACAGTTACTATACCCTATAATTCCAATTTGGAGCTAATTCCAAATAAGAAAATGTCTATTGTACCATTAGAATATGCAAAAGTCATAGGTTGTTTGATGTATACTATGACATGCACTAGATTGGACATAGCTTTTGCCATTGGCAAAATTAGTAGGTGTACAAGTAACCTTAGTAACTTTCATTGGAATGATATTTCAAGGGTTTTGAAATATCTAAAAAAAAACCATAGATTATGGTATTGTCCATAATGGAGAACCTTCGATTCTAGAAGGATTCTCAAATGCAAGGTGGATTACAAATATGGAGGATCATTAATCTACATGTAAATGCATATTCATGTTTGGTGGGAGTGTGGTTTCTTTGGGATCAAAGAAACAAACTTGTATAATTGACTCTACTTTGGCTTCAAAGTTTGTAGCTTTTACTTTAGCTTGTAAAGAGGTAGAATAGTTAAGGAAATTATTATATGAAATTTCATTGTGGCCAAAATCAATATTTCCAATATCAATACATTGTGATAGTGAATCTATGTTGTCAAAGACATAGAGCCAAGTTTATAATGGGAAGTGAAGACACATAAGGTTGAGACATAGTTATGTCAAAGAACTAATCAAAAATGGGGTTATCACCATAAGTCAAATGTGAACTTGACGGATCCATTGACAAAAAGGCTATCAAAAGAGATGGTGTCTAAAACTTCTAAAGAGATGGGACTCAAGCCTATTAACTAATGTCACACATGATGGAACCTCAACTCAACACTTAACAATATATTAAGTCTTAAGTTTTAGTGAGTCTAGTTACATCATTTGAATGTGATTACGAGTACTTAATTTATCTTTTCCATCCCAAGGTTGATAAGCACTTTGTACCATATAACTAAAAGGAAGAGGTTGAGTTAATCTATTAATGGACTCATATCTTGTAAATAAAGAGATGGAATGCCTTATGTGGTGGCATTACTGATGGAGTTCACCTATATAAGTGGAAATAGTGCCATTTCTAAAAACTAAAGGCTTTGGTTTTGAAGTACTCATGAAAAGATACAAGACACATGGCCATAAACGTGTCAAGTATTACTACACTACTTTTGTAAAGGCACAAAGTTGTGTGTGATTTAATGCATGACTAATCATATAGAATCTTTGGTTCAAAGATATAGTTCTACCATAGAATTCTAATTAGACCAACATCACCATGTCACTAAAAAAAAGGTTTTAAATCAAGAATGATACCTATTCTTGTGCATAAGATTTCTAAAAATATTTTTCATTCTATTTTAAAAATGGTGGGGAATGTTAGAGTTATTTTTAAAATAAATGAAATATTATGTGAAAATATAACTTAATTAAGCTATTAAAGCTCAAAGAAGTTTCAAAGATCAAAAAGACTTGATAAAGAAGACTTACCTATAGAATAGTCAACTGCTACCCTGAGAGGAGTCGACTATCATATTAAAGTCATAAGGAGCAATCAATTCCTAACCTAAAAGCAGTTGACTACTATAGCTGAAAATCAAGTCAGTTGATTGCTTAACCTAGAGACAATTGACCACATGTGTTGAAAGTCTTCTATTTCAGGGAAAAACACAAAAGCAGTCGACTATTACAAGCTGGAATTGACTACTTTCATGAATGAAACACTTTGTAATTGCACAGAAGTCGACTGTCATAAAGAGGACTCGACTACTATCAAGTTAGTAGCATTATGAAATTCAGAGAAATCGACTGTCCTATGGTGGAGTCAACTGCTCTAAGAAAGATTATATTTTGAAAATTCAAGGAAGTCGACTACCCTATAAAGGAGATTGCCCTGATGTACGTAACAATCTAGAACTCCAAATTACAAAAGAGCAGTCGACTGCCCTAAAATGGAACCAACTATCTTAGTTCAAAAGTTATAATTTTCGAATGAAACATTAAGTTTATGTTCAATTGATTTAGGATCTTTCACTGGTAATTGTTCACTTATAATGATATGTTTGTAATTATACAAAGAGGTATCTTTTTTATCAATTAGCATAATTATTGATTAAAATAACACAATTAAAGCGATATGACCCTTGAATTAATTCTCTATAAATAAAACACATTGGATATAACTTCAAAATTCTTCTCTTTCTCTCTCAAACTACAAGAACGTCTTTTAGATTTTGTTTGGTGCAAAAAACTTAGCCTAAGGCTAGCATTTTCAGTTTTTTACAAACGTATTTAGTGGTTAGAAATTCACTAGTACAAAAACAATTTCTAACAAGGGCTTCATTGTATCTCATAGACTATTTGACAACCTTTATTGCATTTACTTGGTGGGATCAAATTAAGTCCAAAGGAAAGTGACTCCTAAAAAACACCTTGAAGCATTCTCAATTAGAGATTCAGTTCTCTTACTTCTCCAGCCTTGAAGTCCACCAGTGTTACATAACTCGCCAAGAAGACTCATCAACTATAGAACATACCAATCCAAGTGGTTTCCTAAACTAAATCTGATAATTTAAAATACAATATGAAAATGATAAAAAAAAATGAAATTCAAATTGTTTAAAATTTTAATAAAAATTATATGTAACTTTAACAAAAAATATATATTTCATATTTTTCATATTAATACGAATTATAATACTAAATTTTTATATAAAATATAATATACATATATAAATTATTAGTATTCTACGCAATATTCGCATAGTCAAATCTTTCCTTAACGGTTCTTTTGCTTCAACTAAAAAAACCAATGTTCTCCGTCAAAGAACTCCGTTGTCTATATATATGTTCGTATGCAGTCTTATGATGGAAAACAAAAGTCATTTCACGCATACGTATAACATGAATACTAAACCTAATCAGCAAATCAGGAGGTCAAAAAAACACGCCATATATTACTCCCAAGATTCAAGAATAAATAATATATTATTCTTATGGGTAAGAGAACAGCTTTCGGTACGCACCTGAACATTTGAAACCAGCTCTTTCATCTGGAAAGTGGCAGAAACATACATCAATTCCAAAGCATAATTAATCAGAGGGCCGCAGGCATCATGGGAACAAGTATCATCCACACATGTTGAAACTTCCCTCGGTGATGGCTTAACCTTGCCGGTATATAAATAGTTTAAGAAAACTTTGAAGGCTTCATACCCCACCCGACCATGAGGAAGTAACTCAGACATCAGATACTTTGGCTTGCCTTGCTCCTTCGTGGAACTATCATTTCTCCCTTTTGTAAAAAGTTCATGGAAGTACTGACTCCGAGCAGCCAATATGCACCTATTCACACCCACTGCAACATTGCCTTCCACAACAATCTCAGCATCATTGTAGAAATCATATTCTTCATCAACCAATAACTTTTCAAGGCTGCCACTGAGCCTGCTCAAGCTCAAAATTTCAGGGTCGGCCCCAGGGTCCGCACTTGTGGCTGCAGCTTCTGTGAGATGATTTCCAGACACATTTGATAAATAAGAGGTTGCGGCAAAGGTTAGAGAGGACGAAATTTCATTTCCGTAGTCCATGTTTTGTGAATCTAATAAAGTCTTCCTGGTTTAGCTTAATTTACAAGCATTTGATCCTTTAAGAACATCAAATTTCAAGGAGTACTGGTGATAGAAACAGAGATTTTATGAATCACCCAGATTTGATAAAATACCATAGAATCTCCAAAACCCCATGAAATAACAGTGTAAAAAAAAAGAAAAAAATGCCCCTCCTCCAAATAAGCTAAACAAGGGAAATTCTCAATGAAACAAACCTAAAATAGAAGGAAAATATGCAAAAAGGTTACTTGGAGACAACAGGATATGACTTTACTTGAAAATCACTCAAGCAAAATAGCTGTAAATGGCTCTGCCGGAAAACCTGACAGACACTTATAAAACAAACCTCACAGTTGACTAAGAAATGGAAGTCTTTAAGGTGGGATACGGAAATGATGGAAAAGCAAATTCGGACAAAAATAAAAAGCAGAGACAACTAGAGGAAGGAAGATTGGCTGGTGGGCTCTGTAAGAATTTACCGACAGTGGTTTCTTGAGCTTGTGGGTAGTAATAATGAATCTCACTGTTAAAGCTTTATTTTTATTTCCTATTGTCCTTTAAGAATTAAGACACAATAAATGAGGGAAAAAAAAAAAAAAAGGGCTTTGGCTACTTATATTAAAGTAGTAAATACTAAAGAAGAATAAAAATTGAAGCATATAAACTTGTTATAAAGTTTTCCACAAAGCAAAAAAAGCATATATTCTGTTCAATCCAAAAAAAAAAAAAAAAAAACGTTCATTACTATACTTCTAGAAGGGTTGTTTTGTTTCATGTGCAAAATTATCACCGTACTGTTTTCTTTTTAATTCTTTTTAGTATTTACTTTTTTTTTTCAAAGCTAGTTTTGGTTACTTTGATGATTTAATAAGTTAATGTCGCCATTAAAAATAGTAAGTCTACGAAGCATGATTAGTCAACATTTAAAGTGCACATAAAATATATATGTAAATAATTTGGTTTTTTAGTTATTTAATTATTTTATTTTTTTAATTTTTTATTATTCAACTTTAAAAAGTAACGTTTTAATCGTTATCGTTTGTAAATGTTATTATATTGATCCATCACCTTCAAAATCTTATCAGTATATATATATATACACATGCATATATTTTGACTAAATATTTAAGTAAAAAAAATTAAAATTATGTCTTTCATAGTTACGTGATAAATTTTTAAAAAAATTATCAAAAACTTAAATAATAAAAAAATATTTATTTTAAATTATATGTTAACAATAGATTATTTTCAATTGAACTAATAATTATGATTTTTATCAATCTAGAATATATCTTGATTATATCTTTTATATATTTTTTAAAAGGATTTTTTTTTCCTTTTTTTTGAAAGGATTAAATATTTATTTAACTAAGGTATTATGTTATTTTTTTTGTTAAATTAATACTTAAAGAATAAAAATTTACAATTAAATATTTGAATTGAACTAAATTATATATTTTTATTAGTGTATATATATTTTTTTAAAATTTTTATAAAATAAAAATAATTATTTTTTAAAATTTATTCAAATATATACAAAATTATATTCAAATAAAATCAAAAAATTAATAAATTATATTGGATAAATTAAATCAAATCCATGAAATTCAATACAAATCAAATTAATTATAAAAAATTCAATTCAAATTTTAAATTCAAAAAAATTTTGATCTAGATTCTTGATATCCAATAATCATTTTAAACTCCAATTAATAAAAAATTGAGTCAAATCAAATTTTATAAGAAAATAAAAAATTTTTAATTTTTTTTATTGATAAGATTCAAAATTAAAATTTTATTTAAAAAAATTAAATTCTTTAATTACTCAAATCAACGAATAGTGATAATTTTAAAATTTTATAATATATATTAATAAAAATAATCGAATTGAAACGTTATCTCTCCTAATCCCATCGTCCTAACTAACACCGTCCTCAGAAAAAGAAAACAATTATTTTTTTGTCATTTCAAAATGAATGTACATTTTTAGAAAATATTTTTTATTCAACGCTTCCTTCATTGTAATTACCAACCAACTAATAAAATGATCATTTCTTACGGTCATAATTTCTAGTTTTTATGCATCTCGTTGGACACATGTCTACAATCCTATCTTATGCGCACGTGCCGCCACAAGAAGAAGCAATGAAGTCCACCACACTGGAAACCAACTCCTCCACCCCAAGATTAGGCGCCGTCGTATCAACCACCATCTTGGGCACGTCGCCGACATCATACTCCGTGCATCCGCTATACCCTTTGACCAACTTCTCAAGCTCCTCCCAAGTGGTTGGCTTGTGCCAACTCTTTTCCCTTCCTTCAAGCCTCTCCCTCCACTTGGCCTGGTCCAACGCCTGACACTCCACAACCAGGAGTTGAGCTCCAGTCGAGGCAGCCAAGTCGAGCAAACGGTCAAGATGGGTTCTGCGAGAAAGAGGAGAGTCGATGATGACGCTGAGGCCAATCTGGAGCTGCGTTGAGGCGACTCGCCAGATAGCTTCGTAGGAGAGGTCGTTGAGGAGGTGGGAAGAAGAAGAAGAAGAAGACTGTTGGAGATGAAAAGTGGAGTCGCGGATGTCGTCTTTGTCGATGAGAGGGAATTTGAGGGTTGAAGCTAAGGCGTGGGCTAAAGTGGATTTGCCAGTTGCAGGATGCCCTTTCATTGCTATCATCAATGGCTTCCTAATTATTTCCTCTTCCGTCAGTTTTGCCATTGTTAATGCCATCTTCTTTTTCTATTTGCATGTCTGTATCTGTAACGAATAATAATTATATAATTAAAACCAAAGATAAGGTTTTTCATAGTGATTGGTCATTCCAAGCACGGATTTAAATCACGATTTTAACCGTGTTTTTTATTCCGTCACGTTTATTACTATTATAAAAATAACAGATAAAATAACGATAGTCACGTTTATCGTAGTCATAATATTTTTTAATTTTAAATAATTTATCATAAAATAAAATAAATAATAATTATAAACATATTTATTATATTTAAAATAATTTATAATATTGTAATTCTTTAATGTATATATTAAAATAAATATTTTAAATTTTTTAGTTTTAAATCATAAATCAATATATATATTTAAAATGTTGATCATTAATATATTCATGAATTTTGTCAATATAAATGCTATAAATGCATATGACTGATGACAAATTATCATTATAAAATTAATATTATAAATTAATCTAATTAAAAAGAATAATAATGAATATTTAAATATTTTTAAGTACAATTATTAAGGTAAATGGATTAAAATCTAATTATATGAAATAGATACATAAAAAATCACTTGTATATATTATCTCTCATTTTCTTTCAATTTGTTCATTTAAAATCTTCAAAACATTCTCAAAATCTTATTTCCCACTATTATTTGCTTTTGTTCTAAAATTTTTTGTCTAAAACTATTAGGTATGAAAAATTAATAAAAATATACTTAATAATATTAAAATTTTATTATAAAATTATTTTTTAGATAATTAAAAATTAAATTAATTATTTAACGAGTAACAACTTTATTAAATTTTTATCCAAATCATAAAAAAAAATTCAAATACCAATTTTCCAAAAAGTAAAAGAAAGAGATTGCCAAATAAAAAATTAAAACCAATTTATATCGACATCAACCTTCCTCTTGTCTTTTCTTCTCTGTTCACTTTGCTTTTTATCCCAAAATAGAGTCATCAACGACCCTATCCAACCTCCATCTTGTCTTTCCTTCAAGCGATTTCAACTCTCACCCTTCCATTGGATTGATTTGGGAGTTGTTTGCAATTGCTTTATGGGATCATACAGTTCTTAAGTTGCTAAACTAAAGGATCCCATACCTCAATAAAATGGGTTTGGCAGTTTGAAGGTTGGTTCCCTTACTGGAGCTTTATCTTTACACTGTCTCTATTCTGATTATTTTGATTAAGGTTTAAATTTAACTAAATAGTTTAGACATGGGGCATGATTTTCTTACCGTTTTGGCATGTGTTTTCATTTTATTTGATGAAAAAAAACATAAATAGCGACTTTAACATCCCGTTGCAATCTTATTTTTTTGTTATGTCGTTATTTACAACCGTAAACAACCATTATAAGTGTGATTACCAATCACACCCCATCGCAGATGAGTAATGAAAATGGTAGGCGACGTTACCGCTAAATAACGGCTGTTATATCGCATTACGAGCACTATTTAAAACCTTAATTCTAAGTGTAGAAAAAAGCAAAAATAAAGAAAATGGATGAATACTCTACAAATTGTTTGGAGTGTAGAGTCAAATCTCACGTGTTATTTGATCAATTAAATGTCATAAGTCCTAGTCTTTTAATTGAGCCCTAGATATAAAAAGAAGTTAGGGCTATTTTTTTGTGAAATAGAGTGAATGGCATTGTAAACCGAGAAAAAAAAGCAAAAAATAAAAATAAAAAGAAAAGAGAAAGAAAAATTGATTGAACAAAAGTCGATTAATAGTTCAATTAAGCTAAAATTTTATCACCGGGCTCATGATTTAGTGTTTTACACTTTAAATGATGAAAATTAGATTTGAAGCTCTTTAGGAATAAATCAAAAGTGTATTTGTTGAGTCACTTATTTAGTGAAATTTCTTTAATTGTTTCTCTAGTTGTTGATTAGCTCTAATTTTAGTTAGAAAAAAACTTTATATATCCATTATTTTATAATGGAGATTTTTCTGGTGGTCTACAGTTTTTTTTCTCTACACTAAAGGACTTTTCACATAAATTAGTATGTTTTATTTTCGTGCTTTATTGATTATTGATTGTTATTTATTGCTATAAGTTTATTGCGATATATTACTTTTACATTATTGTGTTTGTGACTCCAAGCTTAACAAGTGGTATCAGAACGAGGGTTATTTTTGAGACGTCGATATAGAAGTAACCCATTATAGAAGTTAAATCATATTTGAGATCATGAAGAGAGATACAGATTTTATGATAAAATTGATAGCATCAAATTATTCAATTGATAGCCTATAATAGAGGATCATTTATACTATAAAGATTTGTATGAGATGATATTGGATGATTCAGCTAAACCAGTAATGCGAAAGATGAAAATTGAAAAAAACTAGGCAAAAAGATGTTGGCTACAATAAAAAAAAAAATAGGTTGATATCAGCGTGTTCTATCATGTAGCGCATGAAACAAATGCCCACACTATTTGAAAAAAATTGACAGTATTATATGAAAGTAAAGGAGGCATGAATAAAGTTATACTTGTTAAAAAGTTTGTAACTTTACAATATAAAGATGGACAATCATTATAGAGCACTTAAGTGATTTTTAAGATTTATTTAATTAGATGACTACTATGAAGCTTAAGATTGATGATGAAATTAGGGTGTTATTTTTTTTTAGTTCATTGCTAGACAATTGAAATACTCTAGTTGTAACTATTCTTAATTCAGCTTTTGATTGTAAGGTGACATTAAAAATGGTAAAAGACAGTATGCTTAATGAAGAAGTAAGGTAAAAAGATTTAGATCCTAAGAATCAAGCTCTTGTATAAAGAATGAAGGTAAAAACATTAACAAAGGTCAGAACTCAAAAAGCTATAGTAAATCTAAACATAGATCCAAGTTCAGAGATAAAGTGAAGTACTTCTATTGTGGTAAACTAGGTCATATAAAACGTATTGTAAAATCTTGAAACAAGAGCAGAAAAATAAAAAAGATATAAGTTCAGATGATGGTAATGTTGTAGTAATGAATTCAGATAGTGATTCAATTACTTTCATTTGTACACATGGTGATTGTAATCATGTTGATGATCCTGACATTAAGTGGATAGTTGACATAAAAATAACATATCATTATGTTCTTAAGAGGGAGTTGTTTATAACTTATAAAGCAAGAGACTTTGGTTACACAAAGATGAAAAGCAAGAGTGTCATAGATTGTTAAAATTGATGATATTATTACACAAACTAGTACAGGCTACATGTTAATGTTGAGGGATGTCAGACACATTTCGGATATAAAAATAAATTTTCTTGCTATTAATGTCCTTGATAAGGAGGGATATCAAGGTTGATAAAAGAATGGGCAGTAAAAGCTTATCAAAGGATCTATGGTAGTTGCAAGAGAAAAATTATGTTGCACAATGTATAAGACATGGATGCAATTGAATGACAACCAAATAAATGTCGTTAAGGATAATGCTTCAACAAATATATGGTACAAGAGGCTGGCATATGAGCGAGAAAGGGTTATAGGTTTTTGCAAGGCAATCTCTCATTACTTTGACCAAAGGTATGTCTCTCAATTCATGTGATCATTATTTGTTTGGCAAGCATCTTAGAGTTTTTTTTCGTAAGCATTCTTAGATAAAAGAAAATATATTGAAATTGATTCATTTTGATTTATATGATCCCATTGAGATTGAATCATTGGGTGGTAGTAGGTATTTTGTTACTTTTATTAATAATATTTTATATAAAACTTGAGTGTATATGTTTAAAAAAAAGCTAGGTACTATAGTATTTTTAGAAATTTCATGCCATGACGAAAAGGATGACAAGATTACCTTTGAAGTATATTCGAACCAATTATGATGGAGAATACACATCCAAAGACTTTGAAGAATATTATTCAAAGTATTGGATCAAGCATGAAATGATAGAACCTGGAACACCTTAGCATAATGGTGTAGCTGAAAGGATGAATCGCACCATTATGGAAAAAGTTATATATATATTGAGGATGACAAAATTACCAAAGACATTTTAGGGTGACATAATCAACACAGCTTGTTATTTGCTTAATAGGTCACCATCAGTTTCTTGGGGCTTTGATATTTCAAAAAGAGTATGAAAAAGAAAAGATGCTTCATACTCTTACTTGAAAGTTTTTTAGTGTAAATCATTCATGCATGTGTTGAAAGAACAAAGGTCAAAGCTTGACAGTAAAACCACACAGTGTGTGTTTGCAGGATATGATGATGAAGAATTTGATTACAAAGTATAATATCCAGTGAAGATAAAGACAGTTAAAAGTAAAGATGTGATCTTTTATGAAAAAAAAAATCATAGTAGACCTTTAAAAAAATGAAAAGATTATACGAATTATTATTGAGTGTGATATTTCAATACCAATAGAGATTCTACTAGAAAGAAGCACAAATGGTGAAAATGAGTAGGAGACAAAACTTGAGGATACGAATAAGTTTGCCATAGTTAGTAATAAGCCATATGCAATCAATTTTGAGTAAGAGGAGTAATATTAGCTATCTGAGAGTATTGAGCAGGGTGAGCAATCTTCTTTACCAAAAAATGTTGAGTAAGGGGAGCTACCTTCAGCATCAGGTAGTATAGAGTCTCAGCGTAGGAGATTTACCAAAGAGCATCGACCATTCACCAAGTATTCAAGTTTAGATTTTATTTTAGTTACTAGTAAGGTGGAGCTAGAGAGCTTCCAAAATGTGCAAACTACTCCAAATAGAGAGCACTAGTTAAAAGTAAGAAAAGAAAAGATAGAGTTATTGTAAAAAAAAAATGATAGATATGATCTTGTTAAACTTTCAAAATAGAAGAGGCCATTGAACAATAAATGTGTATTCAAGTTGAAAAAAGATAGTGACAAACTAGTGAGGTACAAAGCTCAATTGACGATGAAAAGTTTTTTTCAGAAACCTAACATCGATTTGATAAGATCTTCTTTCCAGTTGAAAAGATGAATTCCATTCAAGCGGCATTAGGATTAGCAACTAGTTAGAATCTTGAGTTTAAGTAACTTGATATCAAGATTGCATTCTTGCATGGTGACTTGCAGAAGGACATTTATTTATATCAGTTTAAGGGTTTTGAAATAAAAGAAAAAGAGCACTTAGTTTGTAAACTGAAAAAAAGCTTGTATTACTTAAAACAAGCTCTACGACAATAATACAAAAAATTTGATTATTTTACGATGAGCCACAGCTATAAAAGAATGGTAACAGATTCTTATGTGTATGTCAAAAAATTTTCTAATGATATCTTATGGTTTGCACAAGACTTGACATTGCTCGTACAGTTAATGGAATGTGCAGATTTATTTCTATTATAAGAAAAGTTCACTAGAAAGCAGTAAAATAGATTTTTAAATATTTAAAAGGTACCTTAAAAACATACTTGAGTTATAAAGTTTTACAGCCAGTTCTAGAAGGGTTTGCTGATGCTGATATAGCAGGTGATCTTGATGGTAAAAAATCTACTTTTGGATATTTATTCACTTTTGCAGGAGGAGCTTTATCTTGGCAGTCTAAGTTACGAAGTGTATTGCATTGTCAACTATAGAGGTGCGTATATTATAACAATCGAAATAGGTAAAGAAATGCTTTAAATGAAATATTTTTTTATCAAATTAATGTTAAATCAAAAAGAGTATGTGGTGTTTTGTGTTAACCAAAGTGCTTTAGATTTGAGTAAGAATGTCATGTATCATGTTAGAACGAAGCACATTGATGTTAGATATCACTGGTTACATTCGATGATTGAAGAACAACAGATGTAGTTAAAAAAGTCCATACTAATGAGAATACAGTAGATATGTTGACTAAGACACTTCTAAGAGAAAAGTTTGAGCTTTGTAATAACTTAACCAGAATAGGTTCTTTGGCCAAGATAAGTTCCAAATGAAACTATTGTAGTGATGAATCTCCTCCTAATGAGGCTAAAGGGAGAGATTGTTAGGAGTATGGGTTCTAACTCCATGTGTTATCTGACTAATTAAAGGCCATAGGCCTTAGTCTTTTAATTAAGCCCTAGATATTGAAAGAAATAAAGGTTATTTTTTGTGAAATAAAGTGAGTGACGCTACAAACCGAGAAAAAAAAAAGGAAAAGAAAAGCCAAAAAAAATAAAAAAAATGAAAAAATGAGAGTTAGTTGAATGAAAGTTAATCCATAGTTCGATTGAGTTAAGATTTTGTTAGTATATTCATGATTCAATGTTATACATTCTGAGCGGTGAATATCGGGTTTGAAGCTCTTTAGGAACAAATTCATGGTAAATTTGTTGAGTTACCTATTTGATAAAATTTTTCCAATTATTTCTTTAGTTATTAATTAGCTCTAATTTTAACTAGAAGAAAACTTTATATATTTATTATTTGATAGTAAAGATTTTTTTGATGGTATGTGATTTTTTTTTTCCTTTTACACTAGAGGGTTTTTATGTAAATCTTGGTGTGCTTTATTTTTTTCCTATGTTGTTGATTATTGTTGTCTGTTGTTGTGGGTTTATTGTAAAGGTGATAATGGTTCAGTTTGAATCAAATTCAGTTTAATTTTTTTGAATATTACATAATATTATATAAATTTAAAATCTAATCCAAATTCAAACCGAATCGAATTTTATTGGTTCAGTTCAGTTTGTTTATCGGTTTTTAATTTTTAATTTTTTTTAATTATTATATATTATTTTGATATAAAATTTTAAAATATTTAAGTAGATTTTGATATAAAATTATTAATTTTATTTTATAAAAATTTAAAATAATATAAAAACTAAGAAAATATATAATTCAATTTGATTTTTTTTTTTCAATTTTTCATCTCTCAATCTGAAATATGATCTGAATCTAATATATACATTTAATATCTAAACTTAATAAGAAAAAAATCGATTCGAACCGAATTAAATACTACAACTTCAAATCAATTTTTAAAATTTTTTATTTTTTTATCTTTAATTTATTATAATATATTATTTTTATATTATTATGTTTGTCGTTTCAAACTCAACAAAAATTTACATTCTCAATATTCCAATGTCAAAAGCTATTAGACTTTATCTAATGGATAAGTTGTTCATTCAAACTTGTCAGTTTTGTCTTTATTTGAATTTTTTTTTTTTTGAATTTCAATCTTTATAATTAATGTCTGACTGTTAGAATTAAACAAATAAATTGACTATTGGTAGATGCTTTTATTTTTTGTATTTTATTATATTTATTCTCTTTTTATTTTTATTAGAAATAATGGTTAAAATATTAAAAAAACTTGAATTTTTTCAAATAAATTTTCTATTTTTATTATACCTAAGTTTTTATTTTTTATTTGTTATTTAAAATAAAAGATTGATTTATGTTAAAGATTATTTAAGTACAAATTAAAATATATAAAATTATTTAAATAAATTTAAACATTTTTTGTTATTTTAATCAAAAATTGCATTCGCCAAAATGAGCTTGATTTTGTTAAGTTATAATCAGTAGATGATACTCTTTTTGTGTGTAAATATACACCCCCCCCCCCCCCTTTTTTTTGGCTATTTGAGGGATTAAAATCAAATTTCACTATTATAGATCAATATTGAACTTTTTCATTTTACTTTAATTTTATTGAATTTTATCATTGCACTTGTACATTTAATCTTGTTAATTTTTAAAAATAAAATAACAAAATTGATTAAAATCCATCATTTTCATTACCATAGTATTTCATGAAATATTTTATTTTATTATTTTATTTAAAAATAAATAAAATTAAAATATAACAAAAAATTATTATTCATATTAACAAAAGAGAAAATATACTTAAACTAACATAATTCTTACACTTTTATTTTTAATTTTTGAATCATCCTTAACTCATTTAAATCAGAATAATATTTTCAATTTAATGATTTTAATCCGAAGATTCAAAAAAAAAAAAAAAGTAAAAATTGCACTAAAATAAGTGATCCCTCCTCTTAACAAAATATTCCGTAAAATATTTTACTACATGCCTGTTGGCAGTTAGTTTGGCACTTTTGTGCTTATTAGTTTACTTGGATTACAATTCTAAAAGAAAAGGAAAGAAAACTACTCTATTATTCATGAAGCCAAGAAAATTTTCAAATGTTTCAAAGAGGAAACTAGTGGATTTTCTTTCCACCATTTACAACTTCCTTGAAAACTCTTTTTTTTTTTTTTTTTTAATCAGGAGCAACATTAATAATGCATTGACCCGATAAAAGAAAGATTAATTTCAATTAATTTAAATTTAGCAGGAATAGTTACTTGGAACAAGATATTAATTAAGCAGAAAACTTGTCTCACATAAAACGGCTAACTGGACACATTGGTTAGTAGTAATATAATATTCTCTAGTTCATGCAACTATTGATGCCTTATGCTTTAGTGCCCGTGCAGGCTGTGACATGAGCATGTGGTTCGCAAAACGATTCTCAACCAAGGTCACTGGGTAGCTTGTATGGAATGCAAAACCTTCAAAGCACCATCTATCTCCTATTCTGATGAGCCCTTTAGGGCCATCAACTTCACCCTATTTAACCTTCTTGTTTAGGACATATGCATTTTACCACCATCACTGTCTACCGTCTTTGGACTTGGACCTTTTCACACGTTGACGCTTACATGATTCTCCCCTAGGACCCTGTAATTTAGACGCACCTGAACCAGAAGCAACTGATATAGGGCCTTCTGATGAAACCTGATCTAGGCTCCTCCCAACTGACATTACTGTTGATTGTTGGTTGCAACTTGAGGGCTCAATTCCATTTGTTATAGCCTCAACTGCAGGGACCTTAGCTTTCCGGTAAGTTGAAGCATCGAATGGGCTTTGGTTCACAAGTGATAAAAGAAATCTACTCGGAATGGGACCCATACCTTTCCTCCCTGGCACGGGTTTGTTGATATCAGTAGCACGCACTCTCATAGTCAGTGAATCCACAGATTCCAATTGCGTTGAGATGCCAGATAACCCATCATACGATAGAACGCAGGCTATTGCATATATGGAAGCCCCAAGAACAGGAGGAGGAACTTGGCGTGGATGCATTACCTGGAAAAAGTCGACCAAAACATAAGAACAAGCAAAAATAACAGGTTTCAGGGCTGAACAAGCTAAATGTGTTTTAATATTAATCAAAAGAATGTGAAGGTGGGCAAGGTGCATTTTAGCTCTTATATGCGTAAATGGATAGAAGTGCCTACTTTGAATAAGATTGCTGCAGATAATCGTTCTCTCAAGCAGTAGATTTGAGCAACATCAAGTGCTGTTGATCTGAATGAAAGCCACCGATCAACAACTACTATAACAGAATTATCAGGAGAGGACATGACCTTTTCTTCATTTCCACCGGACTTACTAACCATCAACATTTCATCTCCATCATAATCACACACATCAGCATCATCACTTCCATCATCATCATCATCATCATCACCACCACCACCACCACCATCGTCATCATTGTCATTGTCATCAGAGACTTTTGCAGGAGCCACTGCAATCTCTGTTGCAAGAAGTAACAATGGAAGTGGCCCAATGACAGTACAGTTCCTTATGAACATACCCCCATCCCCACGGGTTATTTCATCATATATAATCAACGGGCAATCATCAGATTGCTTAAGCAATAACTTAGAATTAATTGACTGAGAATGTAAACGCACTTTACTGCCACCAGCAGCCTCTACAAAAAATCGTTTACCTTGTCTTGCAGGGAGCATCCTCCCCACCATTGGATATAAACCAGCCACAAGGACTGCATGGACTATTCCAGGGTGATTTGAATTCAGACTACAACTTGATACATCATCCGGAATAAACCCATAACGTATTAGTTCAGCCTGAAGCTGCTTACGCATGCCAAACAGCATATTCATGGTGCTTGATGAGACAAAGTATTGTGAACAAAAACGTCCTTCTAGACCCCTTTGTTTTGCATTCTTCCAACACTCAAAAGCAGCTATGACTGCCAGCTGATCACTTTGTCCACCATACAATGATGCAAGCTCATGCCTAGCAGCAGCAGCCTTCTGTTTTTCATTTGGCCGCATGGGAAGGACAAACGGATCCCTGAAGTCTGAGGCACATGCTAGGGTCAAAGCCGGATCAAGGCAGTTCATCAATATTGCAAAGAAAAGCATCTTGCTTGTCAATGGATGAACAGGAAGATAACCAAGCTTCTCTCCAAGTTCTGTCAGTTCCTCATCATGTGAGAAAGCCCCAATATCTTGAAGAACACTAACTGCATTACGTACACTTTCAGAAACAGGAGGGTCCAATGTCTTTTGCAAGAATTCCTCTACTTTGCAATTTGGGTCAAGTAATTTCACCTACCAATGGGAACAAAATCATGCAACAAACTCTTACATTTCAATTATTTCTTTATTTCAAAGAAAGCAACAGGTAAACCTATTTCTCTTCCTCTGCCCCCCCCCCCCCCCCCTACCCCAAACCCTGCTTTTTTGTTTAAAATAAGTAAAAACACACTCACGAGAAAGAAAAGAGGCACAGCCCAGTACATTGGCAGTTTAAGTAAACAAATGTAAAAGGAAGGAAACCAATCAGGTTTATGATAGGAAAACTTTTTTACCATAAATCCCCCATCTTCAATGAGAGAGAAAGAGAGACCTAACAATCACAAAGGGAAAAATATTACCTGTAAACAAAGCTCCTCAATTGGCATTCTCTTAATTTCTGGAACTTGAAAATCCGGCATAGAAGCTGCTCTAAGTTTTGAATAAAGATGATAACAAATTCCAGGCTGACATCTGCCTGCTCGACCCTCTCGCTGCTTGGCATTTGCTTTGGAAACCCATGCAGACTGAAGGGTTGATACATTATTATAAGGATCATAGCTTTTCTCTTTCATTCGACCACTGTCTATAACATAGACAACATCATCAATTGTAATGGAACTTTCAGCAATATTGGTTGAAAGGACAATTTTACGGCAGCCCAGAGGTGGACGTTTAAAGACCTTCTTTTGCTCTGCTGATGGAACCATTGAATGCAGAGGTATTATAACAAATCTAGAAGAATCTTTGAAAAAGTGGTTGGCAAGTAATTTCTCTTTCGTTCTATTTATGTCCTCCCACCCAGGAAGGAAAACAAGGATAGCTCCTTCATTTGAATCAATACATATCTTCATTAATAACTGCCCAATAAGAACAACATCAATAATTTCTGGATCAACAGCCGCTATATACTTATGCAGTAACTGTTGTCCCCCAAAATCATAACAGAGACTTTGCATATGTTTTTTTATTATTTCAGCAGCTTCCTGCTGGTTTCCCTGCTCAGCCCACTCCAAAGCCCTATTCCCATCCTTGGAGATTAGATGGCAGTTCACACCAAATGAGAGGAGCATGCAAACATCATCCACTCTACCCTTTCCAGCAAACACCATTAATGGCGTTAGTCCAGTCAAAGAATGCTGGTAATTATGAACCTTTGACCCCCCTTCAACAGAAACCATATCTAGAAGGGGATCAAACTCATCACTTGACCAAGCCAAATCAATAGCTTCATCTAATGCAACCTTATCTTCTTCTGTTAATTCTGGGTCTTCATCTGGGACACTTGCATTAGCTGAAATAAGATGATTATTGTCTGCAGATTTCAAGATAGAAAGCACATCCTCCAAATAGAAAGCTTTTACCTGAATTAAGAATATCAGAAAATTATGATGTGATTCAAACTAAATAAATAACAGGCAATCGGCGATAGAATTTTACAGGATATGTAAACCCAGGAACACGGATAATTGGGCAACCACCAAAATACTGTGAAAACCGCTCGGCATCAAGAGTAGCACTCATTAATACCTATTGAATTATAAACAAAAGAGGAAAAAACAATTAATTTGCCATCAAAATTTTAAATGATGAACATGTATATTTATTAATGTCTAGAAAATCAGAGCAATATAGCCTGGATACACAAGGGCTAGAACTAACCAGTCGTAGATGAGGATATGAAGGAAGTATATCCCTGCAAATTAACAAAGTCAGAGAAACATTAAAATGTCAAACATGCAATTTAACTACTATTTCATCTTTTAAGACACCATGCCCTTAGGGAAAAAATTAATTAACATAATAATAGGATATATTGCTAAGAATGCAGCTACATTTTTCATAGCCGTTGTGGCTGAATACAAGCAGCTAAGTGACTAGTGGTTGGCCCAGAAAAAGTATGTATACAACTGCCATGCCATACTTATTACACCAAATTGCTTTTAACAAAATGGCACGAATCATAGATCCTAAACAATCTTCAACCTTAAATTTAGACTCATATCATAAGAATATTGCTGTTAGTTAAAGCAAGCAAACAAGGTGAAATTTTGAATCACAGAACATGTACCTGATAATTGCCAACATGAAATCACAGTAGCAGTCCCTTTCATGAATTTCATCCTAGATAATTCAGAAAATTAATAACTACAACTGCAAGCCATCATAACCAAAAGAGGGTGCATGCACATATGAGAACCATAATATATATATATATATATGCCTTTGAAAATTAAATAAATATGGTTGATCAGAAACACTAGAGTTCCAAAGGAAAATAATGAACACTAGACTGAATTATTCAAGATCCCCATTACCCTGTCTACGCCAAAAAAAAGTATTCCATGATTTTTGGACTGAACTAGTCCTAGAAAGGAACTAATTGCCAAGTCCAACACATCTTTCTTGCTTGGAAGGGCCACTATATGTCAATCATCCACCCTATTATTAAAATTTCCAGGTATTGCTGTCTTAGTAATCAATTTTCAAACAGCTCATCCTAGCTTGACAGATGTGGAAACAGAGAACATTTTCCAGTCCTCAAACTCCTGCAGAAACACTAATATGTTTTTTTCTTTTGGGCACCCCTGGGGGAAGAAAAATATTAGGTTGAGAGTTGACACCCAAAAGAAAAAAGGAAAAATAGCAAGAACAGCCAACATGGTGCCTATCATGATCCCTAAAATTCCAAGCAGAGGGATAGGATACAATTTTTAAACAAAGAGTACACGTGGCCAGCAAAGACCCAAAAGCTTTAAATATGAATTTAATATCAAGGAGGGAACAAAAGGAGAAAACTACAGCAAAGTTCTGCATTGGACCAAAGCCAACAGCTGAGAGGAGCTAGTGAAGGCCCTAAAAGTTTGGACAGGAAAGAACAGTAGTGCTTAGAGGGAGATCAAAACTTCAGTTGAGTGGAGGTACTCGGTGGACGTTAAAGAACATTTGTTTTAGGTTTATGGAACTATATTTCTTGTAGTATCTCTAAATGAAAATTTTTGTCCATATAGAAAGACTTAAATTTGAAACATGCCTCTCTTTCTCTCTCTTTTGCTTGTCTTTCTTCAGATTTTCATGTACATGCACTTGAACCACGCACTTCAAATGGAAAAACCAGTAAAAGCCCATTCCATTCATTTTTGCATAGCCTTTTACACAATAACCACTTAGCTTTTCCAGATAAACCCCTGTACCATTAAATACCCCAGAAGGCCCACAATTATATTTCCTTCTAATATAGAGTGGGAAATAAAAGTCAAATATTTGTGAAATTATTAGCATTTTTACAATAAACCCAAGAATTTTCCAGGATTTTAGCAAGGGCAGTTGGTCCCTCAAACCTACATCCCTATCCTAATATAAGTCTGTCCCTACCAAAGGATGCTGGCAATACAAGTGGGGCAGTTGATCCCACTACCCACGTCCCTATCCCAATATAGGTCTATCACTAGTGAAGGGTGCTGGCAATACAAATTTAAAACAGTTGATTCTTATTTGAAAAGAGGAAATGAAACGCTAATAATGTAGAATTTGGCCAGTCTCTTTGCCACATAAATAATGAACAGCTACAAGACCCGAGCGTGTTAAGAATAGGTTCAAAAAGACACCTGAGTTTATGTTGAAATATATTCTTCTCCCCAGCTTATATTAAAAGATTACCCAAAATTTTGCTCAAATTTTCCAATTTAAGAAAGGGAAGAAAGTTTAATCAACAGAAATAATCAGATCTAAGAAATGAAATTTAAGAAAATTTACAAGCAAAACAAGAAGAAATTAAATACCATAATAATGTGAGTCATGTCAGAAATGTCTTCTCTCTTCGACCTACTGTTCGAAACCAGCACCCTCAATAACACCCCATTTGTGCAGAAGACAATTGATGAGTGCCGACCACCTCTACTTTCCAAGCGAATCTTCATAAAAATTCGTAACTTTTAGGAACATGTTATAAACTTTAACTTTTGTCCCATACAAAGCCATGAAAATTCTGAAGACTCATTCTCACAGTAGCTAAATGCAACATTTAGAAACTGTAAAAGATATTTCAGAACAACACAGGCAACAATAAACTGATGGATAAATTTAAAAAAAAAAAAAAGGAAAAAAGCAAGGAGCCACACCGACAAATATATAGTAGCAGGAAATTCACTACCATATAATTTTCCCTAACTACTTAAAGAACTGCCAAAGTTTGAACAAATGGTTCAATGCTTTCGGCTAAGAGTACCTCTGAACCTGTTACCCATTCTTATATGGTTAAAAAGCAGTGACAAGCAAGCAGAAATTTCTCATAAAATGCCATAATTTTAACAAGCATGACTCATAATATGCTTGCATATTTAAAAAGGTTTAGTAACAATACCTTGTATCCAACATCATCTCCAACATTTTCTCCTCTTTCATAAGAGATTCTCTCAGACACTAGACAAAGAAAAGAGCAACAATATAAAGGTTTGCACACCATAAAAGCAGAAGATTAAATGAAGCAAAAGTAAATCAGGAAAAAAAAAATGTAGAACAAGGAATACAACAGGCCTAAGTTATTCACACCTGAAGTAGCTGATATACGCCGAGGCTGAGTACACAGAATTTTACAGGCCTCACCTTTTCCCCACATATGGTCCAAAAGAAATTGTGGAACCTGGACCATATGTAATGGCAATATAAGTCACAAACCCAAAAACAAAAGAATCCTGACATTATTACTTCATGGAGCAGTGGACCATGTTGCTTAGGCTTGGATTAACGTGCCAGATGCTGGTATATATCTAGATGTTTGACTCATAAATAGCCTTGAACTGAAGACATGAAGATACAGCACAAAAGGATCCAAAAGAAGGACGCAAGTGTAGGGACTCATTTTACATTTACTTAATTTAGTTATAAGGAACTTTTTATTTGTTTATAAGAGTTAAATCTTAATTTAGGTGATGACTGTAAGATGAAGGATGTATTTGTCTCTTTTTATTCATAAGGTTAATGTCAAGTGGGCTAAATTTGAAGGGGAAGTCCGGGATTTCATGGTTGTACATTTGGAAACAAATTGAAAATGGCAAGCCTTGCTATAGGGAATTGGGCCATTTTTATTTGTATAGAGCCCAAAATGTTTAAAGATTAAACCAAAGATGTTTACCCAGTTTATTCAGAGGCACACCTAGAAAAGAAAAGGAAAAACGTTGAAGACTCAACCTGAAGGAAAAGGGCACCAAAAGGCCAGCAACTATTAAACCTTTGCGGGTTTAAGGCCCAAAACCAACTGATGCAGGACAAGTAACTCCAAAACTCAATTTTCAGAAAATCTCAATAATTCAATAATCAAAGTCTCCTAAAACTAATACAACTTAGGTATTTATAAGTAAACTTAAACCCTAATAAAATATAAAATACCATTTATAACCCTAAAGCCTTAACTTGTAGAAGTACAGTAAAATACAAATAAATATAAAATAATATAAATAACCTAAAATAGCTTAGATAAACATAGAGAGTACCATCAAATTCATAAAATATAAAATAGGGTCCTACATAACTTAATATATCTCTGTTCTACATCAACAACCCATGTTGAAAACCCCTTATTTTCTTTTCTCCTCTTCCATTATAGCACATCAAAATGGTTGTTTCCTTCCATATCTATTCAGCCAAGTTCATCCTTCTTTCCTCTCTATTTAACTTGCTCAATCTTTTTCTTTATCTCTTTGATTTCTAGGTTCTCTCTCTGTAACCTCCTGGTAACACTGACTAGAGATCTCTTGCTGGAATGGGGTTTTAGTTGTCTGATGAAAATGATTTTGCAGTGTCAAATACAAATCTCAGATGGTGTCTAGAATTATCTTGTGCGGACACCAATACTTCTCAGTTTTGGACTTGTCCAAGCAAAATAAGCAGGGTAATAATTTAATATAAATGTCCTAAGACTTGTTTCCTCATTAGACAAAAACTAAAAAAAGCAACCTGAGGTAGTTGCAACATTGGTGAAAAAAAAAAAGGTAGTAGCAAAGTAATTGTAATTTCAAGATAGAAAGCAAGGTATGGAAGAGTAGGCCTAATGCTATGAGTTTGCAAGCTTATAGGGGCACACTGAGAGAAAACCAAGAATAAGCCAGTAGGAAAAACTTCATGCACAAGTCACAGGTCTGATCACCAACTGAGAACCTTAGTAGGAAAACCAGAATCATCCAAGTAAGCTTAGAAAAGGCTAGCTTCATGAAAAGATCCCTAGAATTTGGCTTCCAAGTTTCTATCTTTCTAAATTCTTTATTAGTTCACCTCACAGTCATGGGTAGAAATATGGCATTCTCACACGGTCTCTTATTGCCACTGTAATGTAGCATTTTGAAGCAGGTTCCAAAGGGCCCTCCAAAGGCTAAAGTCTTTACTAATAGTTCTGATGCATTTCATTGAGATACTGAAATGAGCTTTCAACCTGTCCTAGTAGAAGTCAATCCAAGAGATGCTAAAACATTTAGCTTTTATCTCTATAGTAGTAAAGTAAGTAAATTTTAGGCAATAAAAACCAATGATGTAATTCTGGGCCCTATGTTTTAACTTCTAATGCCAGCTTTGATCCTTCTTTAGTGCCCTTATTACCAAGCAAGGGGACCCCTTCCAAAGATGAGAAAAGAGAGGCTGTACTACTCTACCCACACCTATCAGTTTAGTTCTTCATCTTCTTCGTTTATCATCAACTCCTCTCTGCTTAAAATACAATGTTGAGAGTTTCATCATGTTTTCTTTTACCCAAAGCTAACATGAGAGTTTCATCTAGTTGGTTGGTAATGGGAACCATTAAAAAGGACTAATTTACTTGTTTATATGCAACTAATATAGTAGAAGGAGATAACTGCAGCTAGCAAAAAACAATTATAACAAATGTCATTACAGAAGCACAGCAGTTGATTGACCATAAATTCAACTTGCAACGAAATTGAGAATTAATGTAGAGCGGTTAACCAAACATGGACAGGGAAAAAGAGAGTGATAAATATTAGTAATTACTTTTTCAATTTGTGAGTAGTAATATGCTCATATTTCAAATAATTTATGCTATAATGATCCAAGTAATGAGAGATCTAAGCATAAAACTAGTATAAACTGAACCAATCATTGGACCAGCCAATTATTAAATTGCCTAAGTGATGCATTTTTATAAAGCTTCTTAAGATTTAGTTTGTACCCAAAGTGAAAAGTTCTAATAATTACAAAGTCAACATTTGTCTTTCCTTTTTCTCTATTTAGGGCAAAAAAGGATTCGTAAAGTACACTGAAAAGAGGTGTCATGCATGGAAACTGGAAAGGAAGATGTAAAACAAATAAAAGGAAAAGAAAAACAAAAGCACAGTGGGTATAAATAATAGTCAATATGAGATGCCTGAAAGCCAAAATAAGAAAAAATAACTCCTTCGAATCCCAAGAAAAAAAAAGAAAAAAAAAGAAAAAAAAAAAACTACACCAAGCCATCTTATTCTCAGGTGATGGATCCCAAAAAGTAATATAGCCCCAATGCCCCACACAAAAAAAGTGAAAGTAAATTGATGCCTAAAGTAGCATAAGAGTTAATTATACATTTGATACCTGAATCTTGGGAAAATTTACTATTTGCATCTCGGACTTTCAAATCATGTACCATTTTAACCCAAATTTTAACACTGTTAATGCAGCCAGCCCATTTGGTGTGTGAACAATATCATTTAGGTACCAATTTGTACATTTAACATTTTTTAATTTTGGTACCAATTTGTACATTTCACTGCAGTTCAAGTACCAAATGTGTGATTAACTCTTATCACAAATAAAACTGTAAAAAAGACCCATTTTTCCAAGTGAGGATACCAACTTGCCACATGTGAGAAGTCCTTCAATGAAAACATTGTTATATATCTATTACTCAAAGCTTTAAGAGACATTTACTTCAAAATGTCAATATAATGTGAATCATTTACTAATAACTTTGAGGTAGTAAGTACCTCTATAAAAGGAACCGGTTATTGATATTATTCTTTTAAGAGAATGATAATCATATCTCACTTTTGGCTTTATTTAATTGCATACATTATAATATAATTCATTTTTTAATATTGTAATGTTTTCTTTTAGACATTGCAAGTTTTAGATTATTGTCCCCATAGATAAATAGCTCACAATTAGACGTTGATCTCTAAAACAAGGCATCATCCTAAGCATCAAAATATGACCAATAGTAGACAACTAAAGAAAAGCCTTCACTGATCCCAACTTCCAACTTCTACAAAAAATCCTAGAAGTACCATGACACAAAATGCATTAAATTATCATCCATCACCTGGATAATAGAGTTAGGACATGCTGCTCACTGAAGAATGTTCACTCTATTTGTTATTCCCTTTTTCTGCATTATGCTAATCTGTTCACCCTAGTACTTTAATATATAATTTTGACAATGAAGAAATTTAACTTCACATAAAAAAAAATCAATCTAAGTCTAAATTCTTTTCCGACTTACAACTGATGAGAATTTGAGGTACATCAATTGCTAATCACTTCTGAAACCAGTTAAAGCAACCTATGAAGTTACGCAACCAACAAAAGGTGGCTTCAGTTTGCAGCAATAAGCATTTATTGTAGCATAAAAGATTAGAATGTTCTGAAGGACAGTTTCAGCTGCATCTGGAGCCTTAAAACCTGATCATTCTAATTTTACACCTAGTGAAATATAGAAGATTAAATAGGATTTTAGTAGAATTATATTTCATTTTGCATCATGTGAAATACATTATGATTCTGTCTGTGCAGACCAATCAAAAAGGAAAAATGACAGAAAGGAGTACTTTTAAAACAGATAATTTATATTAAATATACCATAAAGAAGACAAAGGAAAGAATTTGTTACCTGCGTGGTCTTTCCACAGCCAGTCTCACCAGATATGAGGACAACCTACATTGGGATTTGGAAGAAACAATAAGCATAACAATATAATATATTCCAACCATCCAACTATGATTAAGAGAGCTGGAAAATATCGATTTCTCATATGGGAAAATAACAACCCATTTGCTTTGGGACAAAGGCAGAAATAAATTGGAGAATATCAAGAAAAAAGCTTTGTATTACTACTATTACATTCTGAAATCTGCGCACCAAGCAGATACATCTTAAAAACAAATACATAGAAGACAAAAAGGTGACCTGGTGAGATTCTACTGTGGATGTAATGGTATCCCTAAATGAAGCAATTGGAAGCTTTGACCTCTCTTCATTAATCTGCATGCATGATGTCAGAAAATTTCTGCTCATAAACTAGAGAAACTACAAAATCCTCCCTTGCTGCATAACATAGACTAAAAAGTAAGCAGCAACCAGCCAAAGTTTCCAAGTCAGCTTGTAAGAGAGAACCTGTCTCAAGTTTGGATCCTTCTCTCTCCTAGATGCAAGGGTTTTAATCTTTTCTACAATATCTGCGTCAGTCATCAATGGCTTGGAGAAAATATCATCTTTCTTTCTTCGTATTTTAGCAGTTTTTCCACTATACTTGCTGATTACTTTCTCTTCCAGCTCTTCATCATCAGGTGGATAATTTATAAATAAGTCCTGCAAAACCATTTTTGCCCCTTCTGAAAATGTCACCTTAGTAAGACTCTCCTTCCCTGTCATATTGTCGATTTTCCCTTTGATTTTGTAGACAGAAACACGTCTCTGGCTCCCACGCCTGAAAAACAAAATTCAGGTCTTAAGAAACCATAATGGAAAACTAAAGTACTTTTTTCTTAAACAGACTAAAGTACGTCATTTACACACAAAGAAAGAATTCCTTAAAACAAGTAATATTTTTAACAGTAATATTAGCAAAATTAGTGATAGATGAGACTAACAATTAACACCTACCCAGAACTTTTGGATTTCATGCCCATTTTCCGGCATGCCTTGTGTACCACTGCTCGCTCTTTATTTGAAAGGTTGGATTCAAATGTATACACTACGTTTAGCATAAAAAAATCAATAAAGTTATTCTAAAAATATTAACGCGAAAAGGATAATACAAGCTACAGCAACTTTACAAGGTATGTTTGATGCATAAGAAGCAAATAACATTCTACAATATCTTTCTATCCATTCTACATTAAAGAGCTAGCAGACCAACTAATCAGCTAAATGATCGAAAAAAGGATCTAAAAGAAGGAATCGTCTGGTTTAAAGTACAAAGATCCCTACAAGCAAACAAGACACAACTTTCTTAAATTCTTGGCATTTTGAAACCAAAATTAGGTTGCTAGCACTAAGTTATAACATTCCCAAACCCCAAATCTTCAATCTCTTCAATTGCAACAAAACAGACATAAATTGTTTTAGTAGCAGCGAACCAGGTCTTGTAATTTTGAAGAATACAATTCAAAGAAAACGAAGAATCAATCTTATAGCTTAAAACAACCAAAACCCAACACACAACAAAAAAAAAAGCATAAAATTTAGTCTTTCTAAAGCAGCGTATCTTCAAAATTGAAATTTTGAAAAAGATGCAAAGAAAACCTTCATCTTCTGCTTCGCGAAACTTCTCAAGTATCTTGGGTAATCGAATCATCGAGGTTTCAGATACGGTTTTCTTCTTTCCCATCTTTCGCTTTCTTTGTTTTTCTTTTTCTTCTTCTTTTTCAAGTTAATGGTGAAAGTAAATTCAGTGTAAAGGGCCGAATAAATGAAGAACAAAAAAAAAAAAAGGAAGAAAGAAGAAAAGTGTTCGGAGATGAGGGGAGGAGGCGCTGCTTTGCTCTACTTGGAGTTGCACTCTCTTTCCATTTTGTTTAGGGTCATTTGGGATGAATTTATTTATTTGTTTGTTTTCAAAATTTTGTAACATGTATTACATAAACTAGTATTATACCCGCTGATCAACAATTTTTTGTTTTGTAATCTTATTTATCGGTTTTTTTTTTTCTTATAAAATTTATTTAATTAAAACAAAAAAAAATGTAAATTTTTTTTTTTAAACTAAGGAAAATGGTATGTCATATTTCAATTAATTTTTTTCTTATAAATTTTATCTAATTAAAAAATAAAAAATTTTCTATAAAAATTACTTTTTATCATATTAAAATGGATCCAATATGAATTATTTTCATATATTTATTAATTTATTTTTTTATTATAAAATTTATTTAATTAAAAATTAAAAAATGGAAAAGAAAGAAAGCCAAATGGGTGTCAAATAGACACGTTTATTAGCCTTCTCTTTCCATAAAATTAATTTAATTTAAAAAAGCATAAAATAAAATAAAAAGGAAAAGGAAAAAGAAAAAGAAAAAGAAAGAAATAATGAATAGATAAAAGAAAAAAGAAAAAAATAAGAAAAATGAAGCAAATGACTTTACATTTAATGTACATTAAATATCAACCAGATCATAAAAAAATTATTTTAAAATTTTAAAATATTTATTAAATATAAAAAATATATAAAAATAATAATAATAATAAAAAACAAATATATTGCATAGCATTGGTATCAAGTGAGTCCCATATAAAAAAATTTTCACCTTTAAAAAAATTTACAAAAAATTTTAAAAGAGAAAATAAAAAGAGAAGCTAAAATAAGAATAAAAAGAAAAAGAAAAATTGGTATAAAGTGGGTACAACTTTTAAAAATTTTAAATAAAAAATTTTGTTAAATATAAAAAATTTTAGAAAAAAAGTAAAAAAAATAAAAAAGTTAAAAAAGTTTTAAAACTAAAATTAAGCAAAAAAATAATAATAATAAAAGTGCCACGTGACATAGAGTTGACTTTCATATAAGAGCAAAATTTAAGTAATGGAATTTTTTTTAGAAGGATAAAAAAAAAAAAAGCTTAGTAAAGTTGGTCCAACCTTAAAATATTTTAAATTTTTACAAAAATATTTCTAAAAGTTAAAAAAAATCAAAAAAAATTTTGAAAAAAATATTTTAAAAATCTTAAAAAGTAAAGAGAAAATGAAAAAGAAAAGAAATTAGAAGAAGCACCAAGTGACACATATATGATGAGGCACTATTTATTGTACATCAAGAAGATTTATATTATAAATAACAAAAAATAAAATAAAATGAAAAAATGAATTAAATGACTTAACATGTAACATACTCTTCATATCAAGTGGGTTTGAAAAAATAAAATATAAAAAATTATTTATTAAATATATAAAAAAAGAAAAAAAAAACATATGATATACAATAGATATCAATTGAGTCCCAAAAAATAAATTTTTACAAAAATCTTTATTAAATATTTTTTAAAAAAGGAAAAGTTAAAAAGGGTAAAAAAAAAGGAAAACAAAAAAGATAGTTTGGTATAAATGGATCCTACACATAAAAATAAAATCATTAAAAATATATTTTTATAATTTTAAAAATATTATTAAATATTTAAAATAGGAAAATTAAGGGTGAAATACAAAAAGTAAAAATTTTGGTATAAGTGAGTCTTCCACATAAAAATAAAATTTTTAAAAATTTATATATTGGATTAAATAGATAACAAAATATATATTTTTATAAAAAAATTATGGAATGGCTTGGGCCAAAACATCCTAAATCCATTTTTTAACTCATCCCCGCTTTTATATAAGAAATAGACTAAACTTGATTCGATATTGATTTTTATAAAAATATCTATATCAAATCAAGATAAATCGAAACCTATTAGATACTAATTTTTTTGTCAAACAAAAATGTTATGGGTTAAAATTTTCTTATTTTGCCATTTCCATTCATTATTTATTTTTCAAAATTTATCTAATTAAAAAAATGAAAGTAAAAAAAAAAAAAACTCAATTAGAGATGACACATGGATACCTACATTGACCTCTTATTATCACAAAATATATATAATTAAAAAAAATCTAAAATAAAAAATTATAAAAAGTAAAAAATTAAAAATTAAAAATTAAAAAAAAAGGCTTACAAAATATACCACAGTCACATTTGAATTGAATTTATAATATTGATTTCTAAAATTAAAGTATTAAATAATAATTTTATTAATATAATACACATATAAACAAATTTTTGGTATAAATGGATTCCACACATAAAAATTAAAATCTTTTAAAAAATATTTTTTTAATAATTTTAAAAATATTTATCAAATATTTGTTTAGAAAAAGAAAAAGTTAAAAGGTTTAAAAAAGAAAATAAAAAATTGATATTAATGGGTCTTGCATTTAAAATAAATTCTTTAAAAATATATAGTTTATAATTTTAAAAAATATTTGTTAAATATTAAAAATAATTTAAAAAAAAGTGCCACGTGACATAATAAGGAAAAAACACTATATCCATTCATAAGTAACTTTAATTATATAGTTGTAATAATTCTTTTGTCTTTGATTTTGGTGTGGTTACGATACGTGATGCTTACATGGCTCTCTTTTTTTTTTCTCTTTTTCTTCTTAATACAAGGTATTTTTTTTCTCTTACTTTTTGGTTTAGTTTTTTCCCTTTTGCTAGTGCCCTCAAGTTTTTTTCTCGCTTGTTTCCTTTTTTTCATAAGTTTTTGGGTTGTTGCAACTTCAATTTTATGTTTCGTTTTTCTTAATTTCTTGCTATTTTTCTCTAATTTTGATATATTTTTTGTATTTCGTCTTACATGCTCGTTCATCTAATCTTTTATTATGTCATAATTCTTTTTTTCTCTAATTTTGGGTTGATTTTTTATATCTTAGGTTGCTTCTCCCTTCATCTCATCTGCTATTATCTCATAATGTTGATTTTTTTTAGTGCTTTTAGTTTTATTAATTTAGTTTCTATAATATGTTTTATTTGGGTGATAATTGTTTAAAGGTTACCATTCAGTATAAGTTTTTTTGGTCACTTTGATTTTTTTTATTCAAATGAAGACAGGGTTAGTGTATTATACATGCTTATATATTCTTTGCTTGGGTGTGGTCTCTGTTTGGTTGTTTTTCTATTTAGGCAATGCACCATTTCAGTCCAACTACTCACTATTTCAACCTTTATAGTTCATGATGTAATGATATTATTGTGTTGTTTGTAATCTAGATTGTTTCTTTATTTTGCATTTTTCATATTCTACTTTCTATGTTCTCCATTTATTTTCTTATTTTGGGTCTAATTCTTATTTTGCTTTGAGCATTATTTTTTGGAGGGTTTTTAGATTCGTTTGGTATGTATATATTTAGTTTTATTATTATTTTTTCACTTGGTTCAATGTTTTGTACTTTTTATTTTCAGTTGTTATAAATTTTCTTATCAAATGAATGAAGAATAGAGTCGTCTGTTATTTTAATGTTTGGGGTTTCTTATATCTATTAAATGATCATCCAATTTATTGTAGTTTCATATTAAATACTTTGTATTTTTATTGTTATCTATTGTCCATCTTAAATATGCTGTTTATATGTCATGTTCTTTTTTGCATGATTTGTTAACTATTAACAATCACTTTTGGTTGGTTTGTTTCTTTGACACCTTAGCCTTTTTGCATCTTGATTATATTTTAAATACCTTGTTTTATTGATATTTTTTCTTTCATATTTACATATTGTGCTCATTTTATTATTACTTTTAGCGAGGTATTTTGATAAACTCATTTGTGCTCAATTTTTGCTTTTTTAATTGATTCTTTTATGTTGATTTTTGTGTTAAAGAACAATATGTTGCTCATGAGAAAATATCCACGGACAATATGTCATTCTTTGTTGTGATCGAGATATGATGTAAGTTTTGCTTTTTTGGGTTTTACTCTTTTTATGTGCTATATACAACTATTTAAATCTTATATGTTTTGTGACTCTTTTATTTTTTGAATTTTGTTTACTTTCAACAAAAAATCAATTATGTTATAGTGCTGTAGGATGTTTTCATACTTACTTCTTTGGTTTTTGTTGCAGAAGACATTTGAGAGATAATTATTTGGATTTGATTGATTGGTATGTTTTATTCTTACTTATATTCTAGTTATGGTTCTTTGTCTTTTTTGTTTTCGTAGGATTTTTTTTCATCTTTTTATATATTGTTCCTCTAAAGTGTATCATAAATTTTTATTTGCTTCATGTTGTTGGCTTTTTATATTATTTAAAATTAATGTTATCTTTTTTGTGATCAAGATGCAGTGGAATTTAGGTTATGTTTTTTCTTTTAATTTTTTATATTATGCACCTTTATTTACATGTCATAAGAATTTTGTTTGCTCTTTACGATTTTTTAAGCTTGGTTAATATTAGTGAAAAATTAATTTTGGATATATGTTGTGAAAGATTATCATTTCTTTTGTTCTTTTCTTTTTTTTTTTTTTGTAGGATTGATATCAAAGATATTTATTGAAGATTTATTGATTATTATTAGTTAATTATACTATGTTTGCCTTGTTTGTTTTTTTTTTCTTAGTAGTGTTTTTTTTTATGTTTATGCATATTGATTTTCATAGTTTATGACAATGTTTATTTTACTTTATGTTACAGTATTTTTAACATTATTTTTTATTATTGATGTGTTTCCTACCTTTGATTTGATGGTTGGTATGTCAAATGATATTTGATGCGTTATATGTGGGCTGTTTGTTTATTTTGTTTACTTGCAAAACTGCATTTAATAATGGATGATGTAGAGTGTCCTAAGATTAATAGGTTTAAAAGGATAAGTCGGCTTAGATCCCATAAGGTTTGGTGCTTTGAAGGTTTAAGTTCTTTTTTGTTACCTTTTATATTTCCTAACAATATCCAATTGAAAATTTTTCATAATGTTTCAGATCAACCAAATATTTGTTTGGATGACAAATTAGTTGCTTTGCTTATGTCAAAGGCTACGATAATGATTCATTATATTAGTATGCATTCCATTGTTAATGTTGAGGAACAACTTGAAATTATTTCAAATGTTAT